ATTTTTCATATTGTTTTTCGGACTGTAAGACGACATTTTTTGCAAATTTTCAATTATTAAATGGCTTATATCTCGAAAACTATCAACTAAAGTCAGGATTATAGGAACTTCTTTTAGTCATAATGATCAAAAAAAAAACTAAAAAAGCTATCCGGAGCGAAAAAAAAAACATTTTTCCTTCCTGATCACAAATGGTTTCTTCCTTTTTGAAAAATTTAAGAAAAAATTGCATTCCATTCTCCGATGTTACAAGCTAATACGAGGTTTTTATATTAAGTGAGACTGGCAACGAAGCGTTCGATCTGGCGACCCTGGAGGCGCCGGGCTTGCAGGGGAGACGGGCAAACATGTGTTCCGCCTTCTATACAAGTTTGAACTCGGTCGAGTCATTTGATTGTTCACAGCCATTTATTTGTGAAATAGTTTTTCCATTGTGCTCTAAAAATGAGTGACATCAATTTCAAGCAACGGTGTGCTATCAGGTTCTGCTTCAGACGTGGGCACTGTGCGGAAACTCTTGCTAAATAGGCCTACGGAGATAAGAGCCCCGGTTTTTCGGAGGCTTGAGTCATTTTGAGAAGGAAGAGAGTCGATTGAAGATAATCCACGAAGCGGAAAGTCTTCATCTTCAGAACCGATTAAAATATCGACAGAATCCGGGATCTTGTGCGTTTGGATTGTCGGTTGACAGAATGATCAGCATCGGAGTTCTGGCACTGCTATGAGGAGTGGAAGAACCGTCTCCAGCGCTGTGTAGCTTCATAAGGAAGTTATTTTGAGAGTGACAATATAAAATTGTAATTATATTTGAATAAAAAAATAGAAAAATCAGTCTTATCACTCAATTTACTGACCTCATAAAACTTGATATCGAATATGATCGTCATAAAATTGACCTTCACTGTTCAAACTCATATCCATCCAACGCCTGTACTAAACGAATCTGTGCCTCTGTTAGGACTGTGATACGGACAGGCCCAATATTCAAATGATAAAAGATGATGTGTGCAACTATGAAACACACTGTGACTATAAACAACCTTGCATCCTGCTCTCTCCAATCAATCACGTCCGTTTAATCGCATTTCGATTGCCTTCATCCCATTATACTGATTACAATGATTAATTTCTTACATAATTTCATTAAATTATATCCGAATTGTTTCAGTTCAAAGCTGCCTTGATCCCACTTAATGCGGGTATCTATTAAGCTTGTTGTTCGAAAATGCGTCTATATTAAATTAGTTAAAATAATCAGAGATTATGTATAACAACCAGATAATTTGAAAAGATTTTGAAGAGGATAGAGGTATTAACCAACATTGGTATTTTGTCAATATTTTACCCCCAAAGGCACGTGTGGTATATTTTTTATGAACGCGAAGAGACAAAACTTCTCCTCAGAAGATCAAACGTAAAAAGGGGGCGCTCATTAGGGGGGGAGCAAGGGAATATGCCCGCGTCTGCCTAATACGCACATAATAGGGTACCTGTTCCTTACGCTACGAGTGGCGTGTTTTTTTTTGTTTCAAAACATTCGCGAAAACTACCTTGCTGCTTGGTAGATCTGAATTGTTGAGATTGAAGTGCATTTTTAAAAAATATACGAACAACCCCACTGCAGTAACATAAGAATTAAGGATCAATTGTACTTTCAACACGAATCTAAGGACACCCCAAATGTCAAAAATCATCAAGCCGTTTGGACTGTACCCCGTGAAATAGAAATCTCAAAGTTGCAATTGGCACCATTTTGGTTACATAAAATTTTAGCTGTAGCTAGGATTAAAGTCCTCCATTTTGATTTTATAAAAATTAGTAATTCAGTGTCACTCGCTTGGTCAAGACAAATCTAAGGACACCTCATATGTCAAAATCCATCCCTCCGCTATTTTGTAGCTCTGGTATGAAGCCTCTACAGCCGCAAATAGCTAAGATGGCCCTGCCCATTGCAGTAGAATATGAAAGTATCATAACGATTTTATTGACGTTTTGGGTGCCACGATTGCATTTATCAATATACTTAGATAGTACACACACAAACATTTTAAATACCATGTAAAACACCTGGTGAAGAACGTATTAACTTTTATCGTGTTGCCTAAAATTCGTAGGAAATTCAATAATCTATAATCAGCTGCAGATCGTTAAAAATCCATTATACTGTTCGGTCGCAGCACATAAGCGTATTGGAAAAAAAAAATCGTTTTTATCTTCAGCGTCAGAAACGTGTGATGCATTTGTTTGTTGTGATCAAATCACGGAACTTAGGCCATTTTGGGATTACGTCACAACGAATGTAACGTTTTCTCAAAAACATTTTAGATACACTCTAGTCGTAAAAAATACATATTTGAAATCACTTAGACCTATAACTAATAGAACATCTGAACAAATAAACAATGTGCGAATAAATGCGCGAAGTTAACAAAGCAACAATTGAAAGATTACCATTGGGTAACATCACCTTTATTTTTAAAACAATCCCATATTTCTTGAAGCTTTTGTTCGGTGATTGTACGAGCAGGATGTTGTCGTAGAACCTTTTTCATCTCGTGCCACAAAGTTTCAATACGTGACAGACAGATCTGGACTGCTAGAAACCCATTTCAAAAGTGGTACATTATTTTCTTCCATCCATTTTATAGCCTTTTTTGAGGTATGGCACGCTGCACCATCTTTCTGAAACACAAAATCTTGGCCGGATGTCAAACATTCTTCCATCACTGGTAAAAGCGATTCTTCTAAAATTGCCAAATATTTGTGTGTATCCACATTTCCATCAATAATATGAAGTTTTCCTACTCCTTTTGATGACATACTGTCCCAGACCATAATGGATCCTGGAAATTTCACTTTTCTCTTCAGACAGTCAACATGGAATGCCTCATTTTTTTTGCGAATAACTCTACTGCGATTTTCACCAACACAAACTTCGAATCGGGCCTCATCAATCCATTGTATTGCACACCATTGTTGAGGTGTCTATTGTCTATGTTCTTTAGCCCATCTAAGCCGATTTTTCTTTTGCAGTGGAGTTAATTGTGGCTTTTCTTTGGCCTGTAAACAAGTTGTGCAACTTTAGGGTTTTTACTTCACTTTTACCTTGCAAGTGCTAAATCCCAGTTTGTGGGCGTCTCTATGAGTTGTGGACCTCGAAATTCTCCTTCCAACAGCGTCACTCCACAGAGCACTTAATTGTAAATAATTGGTACGCCTGTTTTTCACGATTATTCTTCTTAATACTCTTCGGTCGGCATTTGTGATATTACTTTTTTTCACATATCGTGGCTTAATATTAACTAAACCAGTTACGTTATATCTTCTAACAATATTTCTCACACTGTACCGCGATAAGTCTAACAAACTTGCAATTTCTGAGTTTGATTTCCCAGAATTAAAAAATTTAATTATCAGTAACCCAATTTTCTTACTAATAACCTTTTCTCTACCCATTTTGAAAACCTTAACTACCCAAAACTATTTTAAACGTATTCTGTCAGCTGTGATTAATAAAAACAATTGTCATGGCTTTTATTTTTCATAGCCACCTATGCGTTATAGACTTATTTTGCATTGAAATGAAAATAGGTTGATAAGCTGTAATTGCAACATGTGTTATTTTTATGCTGCAAATTTGATTTGGGAGTGATAAAGTTGGTGTTTTCTACTATATATTATCAAAATATTCATTGTTACTATTTTAAACCTATAACACCGTGCTACATTTTTATTGATTGTGATTGATAAGGAAAAACTAAGAATTCAATAGTTGAAGTGGGAAGGGGCTCGTACTTAACGTAATTCCAAATCGACAAAAAATTGACTAAATGCTCGCTAAGTCGGAGGTTTATCCGGCTATCCAATTTCATAATAGCACTGCAGGGGCTCTTGACCTTACAAAATTTCCGACTATTCCTACCCAACTAAATGATGCATCATTTTTGCAATAGTCCACCTAAAATTGCCTAGCCAATGTCTGATGACTTTTATTCTTATCGGAGTTTGGCGACGATGTATTCCTTTTGAAACTGGCTGAATGAAACGCACTTGAAGACCCAAATTTAGCAGAATTTCGGACTTCTACCGATACTGTCGGCCATTTCGCGACCCACCTGAACTCACTCTTCTGTGATTTTGAGTTTCGTCTAAGAAAGATTCTTAGACTTCTCCTATTTCTGATCTGGAAGGATTTAGTCCTTTTTTCTGCCTACGCCAATGGACGAGAAAGTATTTCGAGATATTATGTTTTTTTTTGTTTTGGATGTTATATGACATGTAAATCACCTGTCTCTCTGTCTGATCGTCTGTCTGTCTATCTGTCTGCCTGTTTGTGTATCTGTATGTCTGTCTGGTAATCCTTGGCCCCTCTAAACATTGGAAAGTACTGCTCAGATTTCGTTTTTTGACGTTTCAGAGGTTCCTGATCATTTTTGAAAAAAATTTTATTGGTCAAAAATTAGGAGGTGGGGGAGTGTAAATTCCAATTTTTTTATGTTATTTATACGCTCCCAGTCTCGGTAATACTACGCACCTATTGGACATATTTCGCACATCATAGATTGCCCTATACATTTGGCCTTAAAAAAGAACTATGAAATGTTTTCGATGCGCGTCTGCTTCTGATCCCGGGGGCGTGCCGGTTTTGGTGAATGTTCTGGTGTTCCTGCAGCGCCCAGTGTTGTCAGGTATAGTCGATTTTCCGAAGTTTTCGGTAGACACAAAGCAAAAGCTTGCCTATGATTAAAAATTGAAGAAGGGGTACCTTGGCGTGTTCCATTCAATTTGATGAGTGGAGTGGCGGATGGTAGCATCAAAGACTCAAATGCTACTAGTTGAAAAATTAGTTTCCAGTTACACCTGTTCGTAACTGACTTTTTTCTCAGATGATTTAAATTGCGCTAAACATAATCCTTTATGCACTGATGACTGCGTTGCAGAGGAAATGCAGAATCATCATACTTAATGCAATTTTTTTGCTTTTTATTTTACGTTTTGGTAATGAGATCTCATAGAGCTTATCAAATGTTACTTAATTCATTTAATTTCTATTTTTTTCAGATCTTTCAAAAAACCGGTTCAGCGAGCTTCCGGAAGAGGTGCTTCGGTTCCATTTTCTGGAGCGGCTACATTGTTACCACAACTCGATCAGATACATACCAGACATGGTCTGCAATCTGCAATGCTTGAATTTTTTAGATCTCAGCCGTAACCAACTCACCACCCTGCCGCGAGAGCTGTGCCATTTACCCATACAGGTATGTTGAAACCCAATGGCGGAGCGGAAAGTTCTAAAATGCTGCACACTGATTTACAGGTTATTACTGTTTGTATTTCGTAATCGAAAAAAGATTAAATTTCCGAAGCTGATAAGGGTTCGACTGTAATACATGTTATACGAGCAGCATAATCAATATGTACAAAAGTGTTCGTGGCTCAAGCTATATATGTATGTAAGCAATACGAACACACATAAGCAACTACACCCTTACTTGTTCAAGGAGTAAAATTTCATATACAGGGTGTCCGAATATTTCCTGAAGAAGTAGAAGTGCCACGTATTTTTAGACTCAAAATAATTCGATTGGGCATGATTTACCTGTATGCAAAAGTATTTCGATTTTTAAAACCCAATTTTCAAGTCTTTAAGAACCGGTAGTCCGATGTAAATAAATTTTGGAACACATATGTTTTGATAGACGTTCTAATATTTGACTTGTATGAAAAACTCTAAACGGTTCAAGAAGGGTGAAAACTACCCCCACCCCTACATAAATCTTTGCATAATTTTTCGCAACTCTCCAAACGACTCAAATTTGTTTTATTTCATTTCATTTCTTGTCTCTTATAAAAACAGGCCATCCCGCATAGTTTTCGAGAAAAAATGTTTTTCGAGCTGGTTTCTAAAAAATGTTTCTATCACATCAAGTGTTCAAATCTAGTAGGCATGTAGTTGGCGGAAATGTGGGATGTTATGTCAGTGTCAGATTGTTTTTAACAACCAGCTGTATACAGTGACATAGAATCCGACATTTCCACCAACTAGATGCCTACTAGATTTTAACACTAGCTCCGAATGCCATTGTTTCTTCTCGAAATCAATGTGAGATGGCCTGTTTTTATAAGAGACAAAAAACGAAGTTAATAAAAGGATCTTTAAAAAAAATCAGATTCATTGGGAGAGTTGCTAAAAAATTCTGCTATAATTAATAGGGCTGGGGATAGTTTTCACCCTTCTCGAACGCTTTCGTTTTTTTTTGTAAACATGTGTTTCAATTTTTATTAAAATCGGACTATCGGTTCCAAAAATATCTGAAAATATGTGTTTTAAAAAGAAAACCGTGACGCCATCTGACGGTCAAGCGAAGCACTTTTGCATAGAGGTAGATCATGTCCAATCGACTTATTTTGAGTCCAAAAATACGTGCCACGGAATATTGGGACACCCTGTGGATTGGCCCTTGTCTCTGGAACAAAATCTACCGGCGACATATTGCATCAGCAGGTCATGAGCGATACACCCTTCATGTCAATAAATATATAAATACCTCTAGTTGCTATGAGCGCTTCCGTTTCAGTTAAGTTCCCTAATGATTTTGCATGTGTTACCTATCAGGTAACAGTCACAGTATTCACTTTAATGAGATTACAGCATAACTTTGACGGCCAACTCCAAGAGTGTTTATTGTTTATCGACTCATCTACATTACGTTTCTCTTCAATCTTCAGATCCTGCTAGTCTCGAACAACCAACTAACCTCTCTTCCCGACGAGTTGTGCCGCATGCAGTCATTGGCCGAGCTGGACGCCAGCAGCAACCGGTTGACGCATCTGCCGCCGCGCATGGGCGAGTTGCACAGGTTGCGCGCGTTGTCGTTGCGCGGCAACCTGCTGCTGGCCGTGCCGGTGGAATTGACGCAACTGCAGCTGGTCAGGCTGGATCTGAGAGGCAACAGGATTGCGCAACTTCCGTTGGAGACCAGGCGGATGGCGGATCATCTTGTGGAGTTGCTGTTGGATGATAATCCATTGACTAGTCCGCCGCCTACGGTGAGTGGTGCTCCTTACACTGAGCAAATATGCGCTGACGCCAATATACAGGGTGTCCGCAAAGTTGGGGTTTTCCTTTTCAGAAACAACTACCCTTGAAATAACAAAGGTAATGTGTAGTGAAACGAGGGAGACCAAGTAAAAAAAATAAAGGAAAAAGTACTTACTCTCCAGTTGACGAGAAAGGCTAAGTACGTCTCTGCCCGAAATCATGCCGCTCCAACAGAAAATGAAATCAGCTGATGCGCTACCGAGCAGACGCAGGCAAACAAGGAAGGCAAAATGTTGCGTAAAAAGTCTAGGTTTTGCATCGATTTGGGAGAATAAATGGTCCAATGAGCATACCGTTCACCATGCCAGCCCAAACATTCACCGAAAATGTTTGTTGAAAATGTGCCCGACGGACAGCGTGCGGATTTTCTACTGACCAAACATGAGTGTTGCGAAAGTTATTCACCCCATTACGCGTGAACGTAGATTCGTCTGTCACCAATATGCACTTCAAAAAGTCTGGATTATTGTCATGATGATGCAACAACCACTCACAAAACCGCACTCTTGCTGGAAAATCGTCAGGTTGAAGGGCTTGTACACGTTGGACGTGAAACGGATACAGCCCCTCTTCACGCAGCGTTTGCCACACTTTAGTTTTTGATACTTGCACTTCTCTAGCCACGTCTCTAGTGCTTGTTGAGGGATTCTCGTCTACGCGATTACCTCTACACGCGTGACCGTAACCGTCGGTTGAAGGTAGCATACTGACCTGACACACTGACACCGACCCAGTTCTGTCGTCGGGTTGAGCTAGTGTCCTAGTACCACTCGGGGATGTCGCGGGTCTCGGCTACAGGACGGTATTCAGATATTTTTGATGTTGCAGAGCCCTTATCTTGGTTCCCTTAAGACATTGGTGTATATGGTACTAAGAAAAATTGCTTATGTTTTCAAGATCTACACGTCGTGTAAAGGAAAACACCAACTTTGCCGACACCCTGTATACAGGCAGTGGCATTGAAGCACACTCCAGCCATGTGCGTTCTAACGATCTTGTAAGAAAAACTGATAACGTATCCGTCATCTCAGCGTCCGATTTGTCGAAGAAACTAGTGTCCGTCTAGTTTAGATTTCTCTAAGAATTCTGCCACGCCTTTTTTTTGGTTAATCAATAAAACACAATGATAAATAATATCTAACGGTTGGTCCAAGCAAAACAGTTGTCTAGTCGCGTGCAAATTTAGGCCCTAGCTCAACAAAGCGGAGAGTAGGGGGGGGGGACGGTTAAGAGCGCCAGTGACTTAGGACGGATTAAGCCACAACTCCCCGAGATGTTAGTCGGAACTTGTTTTGCTCGACCACCACACAAAAGGCGAATCTAACAGAGATGAAGAAATTACACATGAAGTACACATAGAGAGAGCCAAATAAAACAAGATATTAAATGAATCACAATTTATTGATTAATAAAAAAACGCACATGTGCTCCACTACTGGAGTGCGAGTAATAAAAAAAGAAAGGATGTTATAAATCTTAAATACAACCTGACAAAATTACATATATCTACAAATAACCGTAATTCCCTGCCATATCCACAGCAATAGCGATAAAAACTTGTTTTGTTATTTTTTGTTGACAGTGACAAGAATATCAGTACGAAAACAAACATCATTGTACTGTTAAAGTATTCTTATTTAATTTTCGGTTTTAGTGCTATGTTAGATACTGTTTGAACTATTTTTAAAATGGTCAATTCTCGTCCATTGGAAGAAAAAATAAAAGCGATTTTTATTTATGGTGCGACCCGTAACTTTCACGAGACCGAAATGATTTTTAATGATCGTTTCCCGAATCGTCCTATCTGTAGAAAATATTTAAGGGAACTTGAATCTAAGTTTACAGCTACTGGTAGTGTAAACAACAAAAAGCCCCCAGGTCGTCCGACATTCCCGGAAGAAAAGCAAGTTCAAATAATTTTTGAGATGATAGTAAATCCCCAATAGTCTACTTCCTCCATCGCGAATGTATGTGAGGTTTGTCCTTCTACTGTATGGAGACTTTTGAAAAAGAATAAGTATCACCCATACAAAATTCAAATGGTACATCAGCTAACTGAAGATGACCCTGATCGAAGAACAAATTCTGCGAGACTTTGACGGAAACCATTGCACGGCATCCTACCTATATCAAAATTATTTGTTTTAGTGATGAATGTATACTAAGTGACATATAAATCCGAACACCCAGTTTAAATGGTTTTATTTTAATAAAATTTTGTATAAGTACTTAATGAAGCATAATAAGTAAATGATAAAAATTTCAAAATGATTGCACTGCTTTAAAGCCCTTTGACCTTTAATAATGTGTGGATGCACCCTGATGTGCTACGCATTCTCCAACGCGCCTACGCATGCTTCTGATCAGGTGGTCAATGTCTTCCTGTGGTATCTCATTCCAGGCAACCACCAACTCCTCTCGAAGTGCTTCTAGAGTCTGAGGAGGACGTTGCAAATTGAGCAATCTCCTACCCATCATATCCCACACGTGCTCAATTGGGGATAAGTCGGGAGATCTTGGTGGCCATGGTAACAATGTGACATCATTATGTTGAAAGAAGTCTATTGTGACTCTTGCAACATGTGGTCGGGCATTATCTTGTTAGAAAGTTGGATCTGCCAGGGTGTCAAGATAGGGTAAAAGATGGGGTTCTAGAACTTCGTGGATATAACGCTGCGCGTTCATGTTACCTCTGATGAAGATTAAAGGTGACCTGGAACCATAAGCTATAGCACCCCAAGCCATAACTCCAACAGTGTGATGAACATGTCTTTGAACAAAAAACTGTGGATTACTCCTTTCACCACGTCGCCTTCTAACCCTGGCACGACCATCGTGCATGCCTAAACAAAATCGAGACTGCCAATAGGTCTTCCGTGTTCTGCAAACCATTCATTTGCAATGGACCTGGTAGTGGAGAAACGGTCCCTTAAGGCCACTAATCTTAGGCGGCGATCTTCACGGTCTGTTGTTCTACGGCGGCGTCCAGTGCCCCTTTGTAGAAATATCGATGTTACTATGTTTGAAAATGTTCGACGCGAAATTACGGACCGGCTGTTATTTTGTCAAGAAGTTCAAGGCAACCATTTCCAGCATCTTCTAAACTGAACTCAATGTATTCATTCGAATTATCAAGCTAAATGTCAATGTATTCAGGTAATTATTAAATGTACCACCATTTTGTAGTAGGTAAAGGTATTGACTTTATATTCTAGGGTTATAAAGTACTCGTCAGGACCTTCAAAATGATATGCCACAAGACCCCCGTAATATGGTATCCACGCATCAATTTAATTACCTCAAGTTTTAATTTTTTGAATTGATCCGTTCAAAAAATCAAAGGGGACGGGGACATTATAGAAAAGCACTGTATATACCTGTTTGATACACATATAAACGTAATAGTGAAAATGTAACTTTGTAAAACGTGATCGACCTGCTCAACCATAACCTTAGCCGAGCATTCGTGTTTTCTAAAATGCCTGGTTGCCGCTTGTAGCTGAACAATAACATTAGCGCATATTATAAAAGTAGCTTTCTCTATCTATCTACAATTAACATCTTATCTGGCAATATCAATTGGGTGGCTTGACAAGCAGTAGGTTTTGCGTTATAGACGAAACATTTACCAATCAGTAAAATTTCTTATTAGATGAATTTTTTTCTTAGGTATGCAAACGCGGTCGAGTGCACGTCTTCAAATACCTCGAAATGGAAGCCTCGAAACGAGGAACGACACCCACAGGCACCCTGACGAACAACGGAGTGGGCGGCACCCTAGGAAGGCGACAGCGACGCAGCAACAACAACGGGGGCAGCGGGTCGCCACTGTTGCCATCCGCCATCCCTGGAGATCGACTTAGAAAGAACAGGCAGAACGCGGATAGCGGATACAGTACTGCATCAGACGGAGGGTGGACACAGGAGATTGCACAGCAAGGTGCGTTTTTGAAGGTCATCTTAAGGTCACTTCAAGGACATATCCAAAAGAAGTCGGGCAATCAAGTCCAACTATCAGTCCAATAGGCTTCTGATGTCACTTAGTCCAAGTCAGAACCTAGTTTGTCTCTCTTAGTCCATTTTCAGCCCGACTCTTACATGGAACTGGAAATTTCGAGACTATCTCTCAAACGAACCGGGTGTCTCAGGATTTTCTTGTCCTCTAGGGTAAAATTCAGTTTTTGAATTGAAATCAAGTGAAAACCAACTTCTTTCTAATTCCATATAATTTTTTGGGGCTAGCCTTGAATCGTTCTTCTACAAATTAGTAAGTAGTGAGCTCCTACAAAATAGTCGATAGAACGTCAACGAGAAGTGGAGTTTTAAACATAAGTTAAATTCATGTTTTTGTTGGTAAGCTTATGCTTAGTCCTGAAAGAATCGGGGTAAGATTTTTCGGTCACGGCACTTTCAGTACCGGGATTTCTCTACAATTTTTCTACAAGCATTAAAATTACATTGCCAATAAGATTTTGGCGCACAAATGATTCATGAAATCGACCAATTTATTGAGAAATAAATATCTCAGTTCCCGGTCCAACCATCCTGCCGGGAGGGAGAGGATGAATGTTTACTATCGGAAGTAATTTCTTACTTTCCCTAGTTTGAGTTTTATTTAAAGTGCTTTCTGATTGAGTCTTTACTTGAGTCACAAGTATTTATTCCTATTTATTCGTTTTTCAGCCAGCTTTTTCTCCATTTTTCGCGTGTAAAAGCGTTCATTCCTTTTTATCAACTTATTGTTTATCATTGCAATTTATGTTTGACTTGTTTTTCCTGTTGTTTCAGTTAAGACAATAGACCAAAACTCACAATCAACATTATCAACGCCTTCAACGATATCACCAGCACCTGAATGCACCATGTATGATGAAGATACACCAAAAACGAATAGTAATAGTAGCTTTTCTAATGATTTTGACAAATTAGATGGGATCAAAAATAGAGATTTGAATAGGTATGTATTAAGGTCTTCTTAATTTATTTTTTTTCTGGTTTCTCCTAATATCCAGGTGGAGGAAAATAATGTAGAGTTTTGAAGAACCGGTTATGTAGATATCGTAAAAAGAACCATTTATTGAATCTACCACCAATTGTTCAAGATGACATATAGCGTTTCATTTTTATTTTATTTGTATGCTTTTTACATAATTTTCTGTGTAAAGCCTTCCGCAAAGTAGTTGGATAAAGACGATAATTTGTGAGTTAATAAAATCCATGAATCATTCTCCTTTTTATCTTCTTTTATAATCACAGCATTCCTGAAATTACGTTGATTTTCACTTAATTTTCAGATAACATTTTACAATGCATCCGTCATGACAAAGGTATTACAAGAATAAGCGCTTTTTGACTCGTGAATGTTTCCCCTTACATGTATGACTCGACCAATTGATAACTTTTTGTGTGTTTGTTTTGTTCCATAGTGTTCGTATAAGCCCTTGCAGCGATTCTACCTTAACTAACAGCAATGGAATTGACGATAAGAAGCCTTTACACCAAATACAAACATACAGGTATGAGACTGTATTCCTATTTTTTCTACAATTAACATTTGTTCATCCTGTTAAGTTTTATATGCACTCTATTGGTGATAACTTTGTTTTGGCTTGCGGCTACAAATGTATCGTTTTGTCCACAAATGTTGTAAAGTTTTCTCATGGCTTGTAGTTTAGACTAAAATTGCACGAAGTGACAAGTGACATTCCCCGCTCTTTGCGTTTCCAGTTTAAAACATAGAGGTTTCATTTAATAAAACCTGGAAGGTCATAAGCAAGGTCACGTTCAATCTTGCAATTTGGTTCTACATTTTTCTGTAGAACACGTATTTCACGTGATATTTTGACCCATACATACTTTTTAAACACCATGTATATTTTCTCGGATAAAACCATGACTATAGCTTTCCTCGAGTTAGAAAGTGTGCAAATATGTGCGTTTCTTCATATTGTGGTTCAGACATGATGCAGACTGGACAGACATTTACATTGAAATATCCAGATTGTTTATTCACAGCCATGTTTCAATAAAAAAACTACACCAACGTTTTGTGCTCTCCGTGCCCAAGGAGCCCTGGAGGCGACCTGCGGTATCCAACTTGGAAAATAAGTATAATAGTAAAGTGAACTCCTTCAACGCGGATGTAAAGGATGTCTCAATACGAGCGCCGGATTTTATTTTCAAGAAAAACACAATTTCTTTTCGAATTAAGCGAGTATTTATATTTCAACATGAAGAGGAATAGTTGCGATTAAATATGAAATAGGACATCCGGTAAATGGCCACCACGGAAGCTCTGGCACAGGGTCAGTCTTTTCTTAAAATTCTGGATCACGTTTTCGCACAACTGTGGCTCTATTTCGTCGATAACGCGCCGTATCTCTTTTTTAAGGCTTTAAACTGTTTGTGGCTTGTTCGCATACACCTTTTCCTTCACATAGCCCCAGAGGAAGAAGTCCATTGGCGTTAGATCGCACGATCTTGGTGGCCAATTTTGATCGCGAAACCAAGAGATGACACGGTGTGGAAACTTGGTCCGCAGTAACACCATTATTTCGCGTGCTGTGTGGCAGGTTGCACCGACTTTTTGGAAGAACATATCCTCCACATGAATTCGATCCAACTGGAGCTACAAAAACTCGGTTAATATTTCGCGATACCGTACACCATTAACAGTTCCGCAGTTACAGCTGCATTTTGGAAGAAATACTGTCCAATCAGTCCGCCACTCCACAATGCGCAGTTCTGCTTATTGACGTACTCGTTCAGATGAAAATGTGCCTCATCAGAGAAAATGATTTTCTTCGAGAAATCCGCATCAATTTGGTGATGCTCCAGCTCCCAATCAACGAATTCACTTCGCTGCGCATGGTCCGTTAGCGTGAGTTCTTGCTTCAGTTGAACCTTGTACGCATGCAAGCACAGATCTTTTGTTAAAGTTCGTTGCAGAGTGGGTCTGGTAAGGTTCAATCCTTGGCCACGATGCGTAATGGAAGTGCCTGGATTATCGGCTACACTTTCCCGACTAGCTTTTCGAGGGGCCGACGTCGAACAGCGGTCTTTACATTCATCAACGTGAATTATGTCTCAAATTTTGTAACTAAATGGCGTAACTGTCAATTCATTTGGCGCATTATTTCGACCGAATTTTCTCCATTTTTGTAGTGACTTTTCACAATAGTTCAACGTTGCTCGTTTGAATTCTGCTTCAAGACGTCTAATCGTGTGGCCTGGACATGACAGCTGTCATCAAGTAAACACTATCCCATTTGCACAAAAAATCGCGGCAAATTCAAATCCGGTGCTCTTGTTGAGACACCTTTTATTGTCAAAAGACTAGTTTCAGACTGATTCAAATTTGATTCTTTCAGATAGAATACATTTTCTGCCAAAATACGTTTGAGTTGACAGTGAAGACATCGTATTTTACATTTATTATGTAAAATAAATAAATACATCGTTATTTAAAATTCGTCTGCTACATCACGAAATGATGATGTTGCATGTTCTGCGAACCACAAAAAGATGGCTCATTTTTTGTTTTTTTTTTCGATTATGATGATGATGATTATTGATCGAATCTATAACAGATCCAATTGGATTCTAAATTTGAACAATAAGAATCTGATATTTCTATGAGCAGTACAAAAGGTATATACAATAAAAATTTAGTAGCCAGCAAATTTTATAAAAAGGTTATCTGGCTTCAGTGTTTTACTATACCTTGGTATTTGGAGGGTTATTAAATGCTAATTCAGTCTCTTTCATTGTCTGTTTTACGATTCACTATGTACTTACTTTGTTATCTACATATTTGCAAACGTTATTACTTGATTGGAATTTCGTGCCTTTTTGGATGCTGGACATATGTATGTTAGAGGCTGAAGAAAAAAATAGGCGTATCAGCCGGCTGAAAAAATGATATTTTGCTTCCTGGCATCCAGTTCAAAATTCCCTAAAAAAATGTTGACTATCATGAAACCTTAGCCTGAGCGATTCTGTATATCTCTGAAATCATATACATAGGTGCATTATGCGTTATGGGGCGGCTTTGTCCGGAAATCTTGAAAAACCAATTAGAAGCCCAATTTTGGATAAAGCGGCACATTCGTAGCACGAAGAGTAAAGTCCCGAGGAACTTCAAAAGTACTGATGCACTTATCTTGACAATCAGTAAGCAACAAATTATCTCTAGGGAGTACAAAGAAGCCCTGAAGCAGCAACGAGCCCAAGACGTGCCTTCGATATATCGCAGCAAAGATGGAGAACAGCACAGCTACAAAACAGAACCAAATACGCCCACGCATCATGCTGTAGAACCGCGAACGTTGGCCACATCAAAGTCGGATCCGACGCCTTTGAATTCGGCGTTCGGCACTCCCAGGACCATCTTTGATGATACTAGTGTAAGCAAGAAGCCGGTGCAGAAGGTAAGTGGTCCAAATTATAAGTAGAAGTAAAAAAGTTTATATAAACAATTAACCTAAAAAGTCCGGTTTCCAAGAAACAGGGTGACCATTTTTTTAAAAGAATTGTTTTTTGACAGAGAAAAGATAATAGCAAACTATCACACAGAAAGTCAAAAATATGCTCACAACCGAACAAAAATCCTACGCAACAATCAAAGTTGATTTGACTTTATTTAAACAATTTTTTAACATGTAATGTTTTTTTTATTTTTTCCTCGAAAACGAAGTAAGATACGAAGAGGTACCAAGAGACAAAAAATTTGTATCAATAGCTGCTCAATCCGAAACAAATAAAGGGTTTTTCATTAAGTGCGTCTGATGTTTAAAATTGAATGAGTTGTGTGCGACATATGATAGAAACTTTAATTGCGTATTAAAGTACATTCAATACCATTTCGTTGTAAAAATTACATCATACAAATGGCCTCCGTTTACAGCACTCGATCCGAGAGGACCAATTTTGTAAAACTCTGCCGCATAAGCCGGGCTGGATGTGACCAATGGTTTGAATGATGTTCTCCAGTTGGTGAATTGTTGTTAGTTTGTTGCTATAAACCAGCGACTTAACGTAACCCCCGAGAAAAAATTCTAAGGGTGTTAGGTCACATGATCTTGGCGGCCATTCCATATCGCCTCTTCTGGAAATAACGTGTCCTGGAAACTTTTCTTGCAACAACTGCAATGTAATGGTCGATGTGTGAACCGTTGCTCCATCTTATTGGAACCACATGTCGCTCAGGTCCATAATATCCAATTGAGGCCATAAAAAGTCAGTTATCATGGCCCGATACCGGGCGCCGTTGACAGTCACCGTCTCGCCATTCTCGTTTCAGAAGATCGAATGACGCCACCTGACCAAAACCCACACCAAACAGTGAGTTTTTCCGGATGCAATCGAGACTCTTGATACCTGTTGTTGATTACTGTCTCCCCAAATGCGACGATTTTGTTTATTCACGAAGCCGTTTCACCAAAAATGTGCTTCATCACTGAAAATGATTTTTTTGTCAAAATCTGCATCCGCTCCCAACTATTCTAGAGGGACTTGCGTCAACTGGCTCTTATATGAGTTACCTGCCCAATTGCTTGTGCACGACGCAGATCGAAAGGTTTGGGTCTTTAGCTACACTTTCGACAACGGCAACAATATTGTCGCTTGACCGCGCGTTCTGCGTCTTACAGGAACTGCGCGATCTGCAACCGAACCGTCTTGCTCGAATTTGGCGATAATTCGTTGAATTGTTCGCTCCGTTGGATGATTATTTTTTCCGTAAATATTTCGTAAAAATTTGACGAATAGAACACGAATTCTTGTAGTAGATTTTAAGAATTGCTACGCGTTATTGCACAAGTTTAGCGCTCTATGGTAAAATGGTGACTTTGACAGAACACAAATATCGAGGAATGATAACCGTGCCACCTGAAAAGTCAGAGCAAGGTGTTGCCAAATTTCGGACAGAGCTATGGAAAAACCCTTTATATACTTTTTTAAAAGTCAATGGCGTAAATTTTTTGCTTTATATTATTCGTGAGACTGCCCTCCGAGACGCCATTGGAATTCATAATTCTTTTTGCGATGAAAACTGTCAACACGTAATAAAATCGGCACAAGAATCTTCGATACATTAATAAAAAACATTTTTTTTTTATTTTGACAACTTGTAGCTTGAAAACAAGACTTTTTAGAACAATGGCTTATATTATTCTGTCTACTTAAATTACTTCATATTCTTAAGTTACATCCTCTATATACATAGAGCTAATATTCTCTAAGACTCGAAATAAATATAACACTTTTGAGTGTTTTTTGAATCCGCCTCAAACTTTTAATTATCCTAATATACCAAAACGGACTTACTGAGAGGAAGTCGACATCAGTCGCAATATTAGATACTATCCATCAAATACAAAAAAATCTTGATAACATAATGCCTTGTCTTTGTATTTTGGTCGATCTAAGAAAAGAGTTCGACACAGTAAATCGTAAATTATTGTTGGACACATTGGAGAGAGTTGGCTTTTGGGGAAAAATGTAGTCACTACTAGAAAATTACTTATTCAACAGACAGCAATCCGTTAAAGTATCAACATGTCTCAGTAACCAAATGCTCATCAAATGTAGCGTCCGACAGGGAACCATTCTAAGTCTACTGCTTTTTAATATATATTTAAATGATATATTTTAAACATATCCACGTATATAACTTGAATCAGGTTTATCTCTTACATGCTATAGCCAACCATCACAAATTTATTAATAACGCCCGAAAAATTAAACATGATCACCACGCAAGGCATACACTAAGAGAAACAGTTGTGCCTAGGCCAAATAAATCTATAACGATCATACTTTTATTTAGGACCAAAATTATACGTAAATTTACCTGACGATATAAAGTGCCCACGCTTTGGGAATAATATCAAGAAAAAGTTAAAAGAATTGTTTTTTCTCTGCAAGACCAGACGTTCACCACAAATTAATAGTAAGCGTAAACATCAAATAATTTGTTGGTTGTTTCTTTACTCATATTTCAATAATATGTACAATTTTAACACTAATGGTCCATGTACAGGCAATGCCTTCTATGGGTCGTTGCTTATTTTATTTACTCATTCTTTATATTGTGTTTTAGGAATAAATAAATATTATTACTATTAAAATCTCTTTCCCTTTCAGGTTATTCCATCTCGAACATACTCTCCCACTCCGCACCACCCGCCTACCCATCTGAACGGCATATCCGACCCACAAATGCCTACTCCGCCCACATACGTCAAACCGCGTTCGCCTAATCACAACAGCGCAGGCGCGATGGGCCACGATAGGATACCAAACGGCAAGGGGGTGTGTCTTCAGACGCTGACCGCTCCCACACCCAAAGGGTCGTGTCTGCAACAGACCACACCCAAAGGAGCGGGCAGTGGTAAAATAGGCGTGGTCAAGACGATCAGCTGGGATAGGGAGGTGGCTGCGCAGGGAAAAACGGCGGAGAAGATGAGTTTTACGATGAGGAGGGAGATAGATAAGGCGAAGGAGGAGACTGAGTTGATTAATCAGCTGAGGAATGTGAGTATTAAGCGAAACTCTGTGCTTATGCTATTTCGCAAATAATGTGACAGCAAAATGTATTAAAATATCCTGCATCGTTGAGTGACAGAGGCATATTTCGTACTGCTTCGTATTTCCTAGCGGCGCTGACGCTTTTGTTTGATTTGTTTAGGATTAAGTAATTAAGAAGTTTGGGTATACAGCCAAAATAAATCAATCGAATAACTAGGAATGATTAAGACTGCATTTCAAGTCAGTTAAGAATTATGATTGATGAACGTATTTTACCTGAAGATAATTAGAAATCTACCTTGAAAAAGTTAGTAACTCATAGATGTAGCTATATGCTCGTACGTGGTTAGGCTGTAGTGCCATCTAAGTATACAGAGTGTTTCAAATTCGACCCTCGCCATTGGGATCTCGGAAACGATAAGGGATACGAAGTCGCTTAAATGGGAGCGTGATTAACTAACTAATAAAATGCCACTTAGAAAGCGCGAGTGCCGTATTAGGTTATCTATCTTAAGGTTCATTTATCAATGGAATTATGTAAATTTTAATCAGTATTTGGTGAAAATAGTTTTACTTGCTACTGTGTTTGAGTAGATTTACTATTGCAAAGAATTAAGAATTAACACTGAAGGGGACGGCGTTAGAGTTTGTGATATTTTTTGCCGACTATCTGCCGGCGTTTTTCTAAATAAGTTGTCTCGAAGCAGTTGCGCGTATTGTGATGAAACTTGGAGAAGGATATGCTGTGGGGTTATAGTAGCTAATGCTATATTTTTGAAAACCTGTGAGTTAGTGACGGAGATACAAGCAAAAACGAAAAAGTTTCAGACCGTTCTCAAACTTCGTCTTTATGATTCACAACTTTTTGATAATTCTTGGACCGTTGTCAAAATATTTTTTTCTAGATGTCTAAATGTATCGAAATTTCTATGTTTCGGATCATTTTAATTTGAGTTGAAATAATTCAGAAGGTACAAAAATGTTGAGTTTTGGTAAGTTTCATTTGTCGAGCTAAAGATACCAGTAATGATTCGCTAAAATAATATTTTGTGTGTATAAAAATGCGTGAGAAGTACGGAGTTAAGTGGGACATTTTTTTGTTGGTAGATAATCGAGACAAGGCTGAAAATGGTCTTACCGGAAGACCTAGCTCCAGCACTGACAGACGGAGTAGTATTGTGCCATCTAGCAAACCATATCAGGCCCAGATCAGTGGCCAGTATTCACGTACCATCGCCAGCTGTTGTAAGTATATTTCTATTAAATGTTTAATATAAAAAATTTGAATTTTTGGCTAATGTCTTCAAATAAATTGGATTTTCTTTATAGCCTAAACTTACCATGGCCAGGTGTCGGAGGAACGTAGATAATTTCCTCGAAGCCTGTCGCAAGATTGGAGTAGACGAGGTGAGTAATGTAATGCATGTTTGCCATTTGTAGCTTATGCCCCCTGTGCTATGCCAGATATGACCTACATTTAAAACCATACCGATATTATTTACACATTATTACGGTAGAACTATAATGTCATTTTTCCCTAAAATGGCTAATTATAATAATTCACAGCCAATAGGGAATATGCATGTGATTCAAATATCTATTATTTATTTCCATTCACAGTCTATATTGTTACAAGCCACCTTCAACCCTATTTTATACTGATGCCTTATAAAATTGCTAGTATGAATTAATAAAAAAGTGGGAAATTTAATGTCACGGTATCGGCAAGTGAGCACCCAATCCTTTGTCGCTGTCGTTGATCGTCACCCTATCAGTTTAACCAGACTGAAAGAGTACTGCTTGACGTGGTATTCGCCACTGAGCTGTCTAACAATGGGTTACGCTCCTTTTTCAACATAGATGTCAACACCGTTTGACAGCGGACGTGCTGCCACCAATCAGTGTATATTTTTGGTGGCTACCAGGAGACTTTCAGCAAACGACCCAAACATAGAATAAATGTTGATTTATAAACTCTCACCCAATTTGAATCATGCGCTCCAAGTTAAACTATTTATAAACAGGAATTCCGCAACGTTAGTCCGCAATACTGCTGACCCTACTCTTAACGAAGTTTTAACTTTCTGCCGTTACCAATTCAACCAATGAAAGGGAGCCTGAAAATCAGGTGTCTGTTGCGACAAATCAGCTGGCTTTTCCGAGTGCTTTTCGCTCAGGTTGCCGTGACATATGTTTTGTTTTTCTTTTGTAATCGGCGTGACTTCCTTTGAGATTGTTTGCTATATTTAATAATGTGAGTTATCAGGAGATGGGTGTTACAAGTGAAGAAGACACTGCATCATATCTGCAGGGTAGCTTGGTCTTCAAATATGAGAAAAAGGTTGCAATTTAGGGTTAGGTTATGCGTCGTCGCAGTCTAGGATCGTTAATGATGCACTCACAAGAAACCTAACCTAGGTTATGCGTCACGCGTCGTAACGTTAGCAAGTGTATAAATCAATTTTAACTGTCAGCCGCACGTTAAAGTAACGGTACGCCCACGGAACGGCAACGTCAGACTATTTACGGTATTATACTAACGTAAATAATCGACAGGAAATACAAAAAATATGCATATTACCTAATATAATTGATATATGGGAATTTGGAAAAGTCAGCGTTTATAGTTTACTAGGAACCATTTTAGATATCTCTCATCTGTAATGATTGTACTGCAGAACGCCATTTACTGGTTTTGTGGATTTTCTTTTTAGGACTCCGGAATGAAACGATCGTAAACAAAGAGGCGCAAAGCTATTTTTTTCACTTGAAACTTTCTACGTGTACTATTAAACATATAACAAACATAATGTAATATCCTAAGTAAGGCAGTAGGTACTTGGGCAGTGAACATTTTTTATCCAACTTTTTAATGCAACATTAAATTATTTTTAATGCTTTGCTTTTTTATATCTTCCACAAAAGTAAGTAGATTACCTGAAAATTTATCTGATCTTAACATGACCTTGAAGGTCAAGGTCAGATTCATTAGTAAGAATATACTTGAAATGGTCCGCAATTTGTATTTCAGGAATTAAACATGTTTCCCGGTAAAAATTCATCTGATCTTAAAATGACCTTGATAGTCTTAGGCCCGTATCGTCAGTCGTCCCTACAATTGTAGGGCGCCTTTATGGCCTCCTTGATTGTCATAGTTTTCTACTTCTCCGTGTCAGAACTCTATTTTGAGGTTATGTCACAAACATGTATTTGCATCAAATTGTGCTTGTTTTTGAGTTATATCATGTTTTATCAGCCTGAAATTTCCTACAATTTAAAAAGAAAACATATCTTCACAATAGGAGAGCGCTGACGCTGACACGGGACAAGTGTAATCTAGAAATTTTTGAAGGAGAGAAAGCAGTATGACAATCAAGGAGGCCATAAACGCGCCCTACAATTGTAGGGACGACTGACGATACGAGCCTTAGTCATGGTAATGGACATACTTGAACATGAAATTTTGCTCTTTTTATTTCCTGTGCCAAAAAAGTGGTTTCCGTTTAAGAAAACTATCTTGACCCTCAAATGCGCTTTTTTAAGAAAAGTCTTATGGCATCTAAAAAGCGTTTTGCGATGAGTTCGAACGTCCTTATCATCACATTTTCAGATATCCTAAACGTTCCGACGTTACAGTAGGAAGCACGCACGTGGTACGATTCTATCACTTAGCGATGTAGGGTATTTTGATCAGGTGATATATTTGTTGTCACATTTTGCCATACTGAAGTGCAGTTAAAAATAGTTTACCTTCAGCGCATTTATGCAGAATATGCGACGTGTGATTCTTGGTGAGAGACAATGGTGATCATTGATCTGTTGGGCTCACCGTTGATGGTATGAATTCACTAACTTTGTGTTAAAAAAAGTAACAAATGACTTCCTTGGCCCAAACACTGAATAACTTTTTCTGGAGGCATGCCACCGGAAGTCGCAGGTTCATGCCAATACAACGTATTTATTTCAACATCCTTAATAGAAAAATTTTTAAGCAATTCCAATACTCGCGCGCTTCCTCATACCCTTTCATCTTCAACATAGTAATTTTATGTTGGATAAACTAAAAAGGATAAAACGCGTGCGCTTATGCAAGTTAAAGGGAGGAAAGGTGAGGTTGAAGATCAAGGGGAAAGCGCACAAATGTTGACATCTCTTCACTACAACACAATATGTACATAATGTTTTAGACTAACTGGATGTCCGGCCGTGAGAATGAGACTGTGGTGTGTTCGGTGTTGCAGGGCTCAATCTGCTCGGCGGTGGACATCACAGAGGGCCTTTTTGGAGGCGGTTGCGGACTGGCCCGTCTCCTCAGCACCGTGCAGCATTTGTGCAAGATCGGACAGATTGCGTTGAAACCGCCGCCGCCTGCACCGCCCCCGAGGGTGTCATCGCTCAACGGGCAGAGGCAGACGAGGATAGCCACCGCACAGGACCGCACAGTCTCATTCTTGCTGCTCGGAATGTTCCTGGGGACTGTTGTGCTGTTGCTATGGTTCCCGCCTAGGGAATGAATCGTAGGAGTATCCAAGTGACGTATAGATATTTTCATTGCCAAACATACAATCTCTAGATCCTAGACTGTCCGCTTACTGGACAAATCGTATCTACAATATTATCTATATTTTCCTTAAAAAACGACACTGTGCGCCAAAATTACTGCCCCATTTAACATAATCTCATTTTGGAATCATTACTCCCAATCACCTTCCAAATGGCATGCCAAATGACCGAACATACAGGGTGTTCGAGAGGTCGATACCAGTTACCAAACCTTTTGGCTTTTGAGTTTTTCGCAATTTTATCACATCCCAGAAAAAAGACGAAACCATGTGATGAACTGTCGCTTGTTCAGAGGTGAAATTGAACCATCCTAAACACTAAAATCATTTTTTATCCTAACGGAGACACCGTTTTTACTGTCCAAAATTGAATTTATTATTTTCACAATAATTTATAACACTTGTACTAATTTATGATAATTTATTACAACGTTGACTGGACTACGCCTTCCGCGTCCTGTGATATTTATCCACCTGTCGACGCATCGAGAAATATTCCAGTATGTTCGGGGACTTCCATGGAAGTGGTTTAGATAAAAGCAGGTGCTTACAGACGGCTATCCAATTCTCGCGATTGCGGTCCAGAATTCAAGCACGCCTAAGCGTCGACTCTGACAAGCCGCCCCATCGTCACTCAAGGTCACAGCTATACGAGGGCATTACATTATAAAATGTACACAATCTTTGATAATTTGGGAAGTACATATTTGTACGAAGACAATAGGCTATTAATGGGTAAAATAACAGAACTGATTTTGGCATTCTTCTGGAATATCACAAAATTGCGGATAACTCAAAAATAGTTCGACTTTGTACTAAGGTATATGTGGCTTATTGTTATCGAAATTAAGTGTATTATTATCACCCCTTAAAAGGTTGGTATCGACCTTCTGAACACCATGTTTACGGGCTTTCCTTTGTGGCTGAAGTGCAAATACGGTTTTTCTGCCGTACGATTTTTCACGCGAAATGACGCATGTGAGACTACTACAACCTTTTCGTGTAAACCTAAACCCCATGTTCACGGATTGCGATATAAAAGTCTTTTTTTTTTTCCTTTGCAATCCCACAGTGGTTCAAAAGTCCGAAAACCTGGCGAAAACTAGATGATTCACTAAATTTCACAAAAAAACTTCATCGACATGTTCTCGAGGTTACTGATAATGAATATGATATCTATTGGACAAAAATCAAAATAGCGGACATGTTTGCAAAAAAAAAAAGTTTGGATTATGCTCAAATTCGAGTTTTGTATGTTTTTGAGGTTGCTGGTGACGACTTGAATATCTATTTTTTTTCGAAATCTTAATGCCGGACATGTTTGCAAAAAATGTTTCCATTACTCTCGAATTTGAGTTTTGTTTCAATTTTTTTTTGAACTCACTAATTCACTATACATTACAGAAAAAAATACTACATTCGTATCGTGTTTTGTGTCTATTGGCAAGTAATATAGTTATACAATTATTTTTGACACGAGTTTCTTGTCATTTTATCGATGCGACAGACATTTACTATAATTTCGCCATCAGAGCCGTCTAAGTGGAACTAATGGTATCAAAAGATGAAATATGCATCCATAGCTGTGCACAAAATCTAGTCATATGCGAAAAAAAAATTATTTGACCTTTGGCGAGGTTTTTGGTTCTTGGACCACTGTGCATCCTGGTGATTTGAAGCATTTTTTACGGTTTAGCATCACTTTGTTTGGCTTCCTTATCTGTTTTCAAACGTTGTTGTTTGACGCTGTTGGGGTTTGGCGTCTTTTTTAAAGGACAATGCATGATTTGGGGGATGCTAAAAAGAAGAGTGACTTCAGGTACCTGAAAAAAAAAAAACAATTTT